GGCATAAAAAAGTACATCACATGTTGATTAGAGTCACAGCTAATAAAATGAATTTCAATAGACTATGCATTAAACAAGTGAAAAATGTCTTATCATTATTTGAGGCCAAGGTTTTGATTAATAATAAAAGACAAAAATCACACAAAATTATAATAATTGTGTCTTTAATACATTTCACAATTTAGAGAGAGAGTTGTTGGAAATAAAGTGGTGATGAGTCCACAAATTATATCCAATCTTACAATTACTTCAAGGACTCGATATTTTGGACAATTGAGGAAAAATTGGACATATTTTGCATTTATTTTTAGATTTCATTACAATTACATCTACTATTCTTTTTCTGACGTTTCTATAAGTTTATTATAAATACATTTGTTATTACATTTATTTCTTGCAAACATTACTGATATATTTTGTTTTGATTCAATAAATTATCAAAAAATTCATATAAAAACAAGGAGTAATTCGTAAACATATTGTTTTATGAATTTATTACAATATAATATGAAAATACTATACTGTTTTGTTGACCAAAAATTCCTTATGAAATTCAAACTTTATGACAATGAAATTCATATCAAAAATGATTATGTCTGCAATGAATTGCAAAACTATCTGCCCTTCAAATTAAATTAACTCTTTTAGGCTTTAATGTAAAATATCGATCCGTTTTCCCTAAAAAATAGTAACCTTATTCATGAAAAGCATTTCCTCATAATTTGCGCAATAATTACATTAAACAAACATTTTATTTCAATTGAAATTACAATATAATTATTTCGCACGAAAGGCCTGTCCATTGAATCCTTTGCCACAACATGTCATTGAAAATGGCGGTACAAATCGTATACTCGAGGACTTCAGCGAAAGATTTTCGCCCGCAATCAGAGGAGTCGTGGAGTTCGCCAAACGTATACCCGGTTTCGGTATGTTGTCACAGGACGACCAAGTTACTCTTCTTAAGGTATACACCATCGCATACTTAGCCAATGCCAACAATTATATAATACTCGGTGTTTGTATCGCTCGATAGGCCGGTGTGTTTGAGGTACTATTGGTACGGCTCGCCTGTATGTTTGACTCGCACTCCAATTCAATGATATGCCTCAACGGTCTGGTACTGAGACGAGAGGCACTGCACTCCGCGAGTAACGCCCGGTTCCTCTTGGACTCGATGTTTGATTTCGCCGAACGGCTCAACGCTTTGCGGCTAACGGATCAAGAGATCGGTCTCTTCTGCGCTGTGGTTGTCATCGCTGGCGGTAAGGCATCGCTATATCTCTCATATATATTAAAGCGCTTTATATTCGCATAAATTAAATGTTAGGATGAGTTTGATTTCAAGGAGAAACAGAGATTTCCTCTACTTTGTCATCATTGCATCGTTTCCTTGAATTTTTCTATTCTTTTCATAGACTATGCTATTAGCGCTCTCTCTCTCTCTCTCTCTCTCTCTCTCTCAACTACTGTCGTCTAATCTAACCTTCATTTATGGCTTATCAACAAAAACTATGTCCTTAAAAATGGATCCGACCTTCAAATGCTTGTCACCTGAGAATCATATGAACAATATATGTGTTGGCTTTTGTCACCAATTCTAGCAGCAGAACAGTTGTGAACAGTTGTCCAACAGTTGTTCATTTTACTCGATCACAAATTCTGATATATCATTGATTTTTCTACACATATAGACTTATCAATCATAAGAATATATACAGAATTGTTGCCAATTTCTTATCTCATTATAAGTAAAAAATGTGTTCGTATTGAGGAAGTGATAATAATATTTCAATATCTCAATAGAAATTCCTAATGCATTGTATTTTACATACGATTCTGTCGGTCAAGGATTATAAGTAAAAAGTGTAATGAAATAAATTTTTCCGCCGAATGATAGCGCTTTCGCGCAATTCTCTATCCCTATGCCTGACCCTGACATTGGAGCTCATATTCACAAGAATTCATATATCTATGTATATCGACAATAGTGTGCATATAGTGTACATATAGTGTGCATATATATAGCTGTAATAATTAGATGCCAACCGTTTTATGAGTGCATTCAATACGTAATACATTAGGCATAAAAAAGTACATCACATGTTGATTAGAGTCACAGCTAATAAAATGAATTTCAATAGACTATGCATTAAACAAGTGAAAAATGTCTTATCATTATTTGAGGCCAAGGTTTTGATTAATAATAAGAGACAAAAATCACACAAAATTATAATAATTGTGTCTTTAATACATTTCACAATTTAAAGAGAGAGAGAGAGGGGGGGGGGAGAGTGGAAATCAATACATGTATTGATTTAAATACTATTAGAAACTCATCTAATAATAGCCTTGAGAATCGTATAATTGAAAAATAAATTATTTGTAGGAAAAACGGATCAATATTTGATATGAAAGCCTAAAAGAATGGGTTAAGAGTTAATTCAATTTGAAGGACAGGTAGTCTTGCAAATCATTGAAGACATAATAATTATTTGATATCAATTTCATTGTCTTATCAAATATATAAATATAGAGACATTTTTTAGTCACAGAATAAGTTTTTATATTAATTCCATAAAACAATATGTTTACGAATTACTCCTTGTTTTTCACTTGAATTTCTCGAATATATTTTGATAACTCATTAAATCAATAATGTTTGCGAGAAATAAGTGTAATAATATAACTGTATTATATAATTATAACTCTACACTAAATACTCCATAATTCAAACCAATTACCATAAACACCCCACAAGGGGTGTTCACAAAGTACGTTCGGTCACAAAGTACTATGTGAATCACCCTTATAGGAAACCGTAGTCTCGAACCTCTATATTCCGGAAGGGAAACTCACACCAATTCCTTTGACTACATCTCTAATACTAAATATGTATTTTTATAAACAATTGAAGTGTAAGATAAAAACTAAAATATATAAAGAAATACTATGAATATAACTGATATCATTGAATTTAAATAGAATAGTAAATATCGTAAAATACAATTAGTTCATTTCCGACCAAATGATATACGTTAATCACAATTTGGGTGATGCTCATAGAATAGATTAAAATACTCCATAGATTTAATATGAGTCCCATAAACTTAGCATTTCCCATAGACTTAACATTGTCTGTGACCGTGAATAAGGGGGAGGGGGACCGAATCCTATAAACCACATTGTTCATATGTGAATTGAGGTTTTAAAAAGCACTTCCTCTTTGCGTACATAAAATGGTAATAATGTATAGAATATATGTTAGTATAGTCTGACATACCATTTGTGGGGGACAGTGAGCGTAAACGGGTTGAGTGCGGGCCCTGTCGATGAGTTGGGCCACTTTATCGCGGGTGTAATCACACGTCTCTTCATGTGCTTTGATAATTGTGGTCAACAGACGATTCTCGTCCTCCAATTCCACGCAAAGAGCCTTCTGTTGAGAGTTTGCGTTCACTTTTTGCATTGCGGCCAATATTTTGGCCTTTTCTCGCTTAGGCACCCGACCGAACCTGACCGCTGTTGGGAACATTATAGACACGTTAATTGCTTATAATTACATCATGGTTATAATCATGGTCAAATGGGAATGTGTGACACATACAATATTGTGTATAGTTATACATGTCATATAGAATTGGTATCGTTGGTAGAGTTGGTCATAGCATTCAACACATAAACCACATATACATTGAAAGTAAAAGTGAAGATCACTTAATAATGATTATGCGATCCTTTGCTCCGTTAATGTATGAGATTTTCGACAAACATTTTACGGAAAAATATTCTGATCAATAAAAACCTTGACCTTCAGAATCTGTTTATAACTAAAAACCAAGTGGCAATATATATGAAATGCAATTCTAACCAATCGCGCCGAGCGTTACATCGCAGACCTGACGCGTGCAGCCAATCGGAGACCAGCGCACAGCAGATGGTAAAATGCTCTGGAAATGCTACACTCAATGTACGTATGTCTGCAAACTATACGTATGTATGTTTCGCTGGAAATGTGATTTCATAAGGGCTTATGTTAGCGAAGTTGGCTTAGAGTTATGCAACCTTTTAACGGACCATAAATGACCTTGTAGAATTTTATAAATAACTGATACCGGTGTATTGAGAGTGTATATGCGCCAGTATGTGCTCACACACACACCAGTGTCACAGCTATTGTCAATATTTTCAACACCGATATATCCTTGATCTTCATTTTATATCTAATTATTATTTATTTAATTATAACTTTAATATTTAAGAACTTATACTCCATTCATATCATATAAACACTGAATATTCTCACAAATCATAGCCAATGCCCTAAATATCTGACATAATACTGTATAGTAATGTGTTATCAAATTATATATTTTTCAAATAAACTAAACTATATATTGTTTTTGTATAACTCTTTTTCAAAACACTTCCACTTAAATGAATGCGAAAACAAATTAGTAATAAATAAAATGTTTGACGCATTGCGGAAGGCATTCAAGAGATTTGTCTTTTGTCCTCATTTTATACATTATTATATAAAACACATTAGAAAATGAGAGATGTATTGAGCGGAATGTGTGGGCGAAAAGGTATCGCAAAATGTCATGTTTAGTACACTATATGTGCTTTACTTCTACCTGTTATACATTATCATCGCTATTACCCACACATAACATAGCTTTACAAACACTACTTATTGCTAACAAATAAAAGTATATTTAGATTTAAAATCTCAAAATCTTATTCAATTGAATTAATTTTTGATTAAATAGAGAAAAATTGTAATATTTGAATATGAAATTAAAATCTATTAAAAAGCCTTGTAATCATTGAATAAGAGAGACATGTAATCATGTAATGTGTAAAAGTGAATGCGACCACAGAATCGCATCAACAGTTTGCGCGTCAAGTGCTGCCACTTTGGGGCTAAAACTCAAACCAAATTCTATACAATTTTATGTAAAACTTTTATTTGAACGCCTATTTGAATGCAATTTCTTATTTGATTTTTATGGCAATTCCTGTCAATCGGCGTATTGTATGCGCACAGAAAAAAATGAGGACAACGGATGTGATTGGGATACTCACCGTCTCTGGACATTCCGACAGCGATGCACTTTTTGAGCCGACAGTATTGGCATCGGTTGCGATTGATGCGGAGTATAGAGCACTGTTGGTTTTTAGTGCACGGCCTGTACTGTATCTTTTGCTGAATGCTTCGTCGAAAGAAGCCCTGAATATATGGGAATCAAATGAGAAAAGCAATGGTTAAGTGACTGGTGTTCGCAGAGACCGGACGGCGAAAAAGAGTTCAGTTCAAGGCCTGACAATCGAGGGGTTCGTTGAACTCATTATAAACACAAACTTCTTCTCTCACTCTAACCCTGAACTTGAAAATCACGTTATTGTGAACTCAACACCACTTTCGGTGAATTATATACAACAAGAAGAAGAAAAAAGCTCCGCTTCTCTCTCTGGTGTAGGAAAGGGTGGCTCACAATAAACCCCATAATAGGGAGAGAAAAGAGAGGACAGGAATAGGAGAAGCGGAAAGAAGTAGGACTTTGTGGAGGACTGAGAAGGACTATAAAGTGTAAGGACTGGGAGACTGGGAGACTGAGAGACAAGTGAGCATTTGGTTAAGTAAACAGCAGTGCAGTAGTAGTGATGTAGTGGTGGTCGGGAATGGCTTACATTGTTTGGTGGGGCGCATAAGGAAAGGCTATTCACTATTATTACGATTACCGTATATATGGATATGTATTAAATGTATTACACATAAGGATTGGGAGAGAAATGTATTACAGAATTGTGATTATGAGAGAGAAGGGGAACAAAACAGAGCAGTTGTACACTAAGGCTAACGAACTCTCCGTATATCTATGAGCACAGTATATATACATATATTGTGGTACAGGTATATAAATATATGGGTGAGGGAGCGATGCACTCGCTTGGGCTGTGCTATGGATGGTATGGTTTGCATGGATTGTTCGTACAATCTCTACATACAGTGTATGATGTGCTGCACTGGCAGTGGTGTTGGCGTTTGTGCGCAGGTATTATGTATTTGGATGTGAGTAGAGTAGGGGGTCATTGAACTAAAGGCATTTCAAGGGCAATAAGTGAAGCACTGATGCACGTGCTATATAGTAGGCATACACTATACACAACATACATGTATATATTCTGTACGCCATATTATACACCATATTCTGCATTACATGTATAGACAATGCATTCATTACAGACCCGATTGCTGTCTGCCATCAGTTTTCTGCTCTAAACCTATTGAACCTCTATTTCTATTGCAAAAACTCTACTTTCATCTAATGTTCAGATGCTTTACAAACCATTATTAACTGTTAACTCACACCTCAATTCATATACAAATTATGGGTTTTATTTTTTCGATCAAAATATGTTTCTATGACTACATTGTGATTAACATATTATAAATGTAGACAAATTCTGCCCGATATAAAAATTAAGCTCAATTATCAGCGAAAATAAAATATTTATTTTTATATATATTATACTATTAATTATGAGATAATGTCTGTACTGGTCGTTGGGTTTGTTTGCTATTAATAAATGATCGAGTCGTTCATTAGTCTATTATATCGTTACATAATATATAGAAATATTATATATATGTATAATATTTGTGTATTTAATGTGCAATATATGAGAGCACAGAGCGATAGCGCATCACAAATATCGCGTTCACTGAACTTTTTGGCAAATCCAACAACTTTTTACTCTTATATATGTATACGAAAAACATTGCGTTTAATGTTAAAAAAGTATATCTTCTCCACTATAAGCAACTTCTCATTGCATTCAATGCTATTCTACTGTGGGTTCAAGTATTTGAATCATTGAATCAGTAGGACTGGTGTAGGACTCACTGCTCAACACTTAAGGACCAGATAAGACATGGAGAGAGAGAGAGAGAGAGAGAGAGAGAGAGAGAATGTGGTGATATGAGAGAGTGGTAGTGGAGGGCATTGAACGGCTTCATTGCCAATACTGACATCAAGAATGGATTTGGACGGCCGTGAACTCAGGCGCTGCTATACTTATCCCTAGCAATCGCACTGCTCTCTCCCTAACATTGTTTTGTTTCAAAAATACATATAAAATATAATTATAACAAAAGAATCGCTAATTTTTTGTGATCTAATGGTCGCATAAATTGAATAATTATCTCTTACAGTGTGTATCGTAAACACATCTAATGTGATACTAAACTCGTCGATCGATATATTGGATATATTGATGGAAAATAGTGTTGGGAAAGGGTCACAAACCTTGCAGCCTTCACAAGAGTGAACTCCATAGTGAAATCCACTGGCTTTGTCGCCACAGACGCGGCATAACACTGTCGTCCCATCGAATTCTGTACATAATATTCAATACAATTAGTTTACAATTCTTTATATTCATTATAAAATTATTTTAAATATTGTTTTTCTAAAAAAACATTAAATATTTTTCTTTCTATAAGTATAGTAAGAATTTAGTCGCCATTAATATTCTGTATATAAAATTGAGAAATATATTGTATACAGCATTAAATGAATGGTAAAAAGCAGTTTCACTCGCAATGCAATACATAACTATTAAAACGAGTTATCTATCGGTGAGTTCATTGACCGCATATAACACTCAACTCGTAAGCAATTATTTCAATTGAATTTTATGCGAAAATATTCGCAAATATCTTATATTATATAAGATATGACTGTTTTCGACAAAAATATTCATTAAAATTAATTTTAAACAAAATTTTTCAAAAATAACATTTTTTTAAGTCTCAGACAATTCTTACCAATTTTCAAATCATTATCCTTTCGGTCATTTTCGCCATCATTTTGTGGCATTGAATTTAAAAGCTTCAAATCTTTGTCACTTAAAATCATTTTGAAGCCAATTTGTATCAATTATTACTTGAAATGAAAGCAGTATTCAATTCACACCAGAATTATATACCAAATATACGAAACAAAATGTATTTCTATTTGACAATAGAAATAACACCAATAAAATCAGTCAAAATGTTAAGAATCATATAAATTCTTGTAATTCAAGCACTTATTTAACGAAATCAAGAATACACTCGAAATGACAATAAATAAGAAATACTTTAAAGTTTTATATAAAAGTTTTAATCAAAAAATTGTTTGATTAAAAAACATTGGATAAGCAAATGGTTTGCGAAGAAGAAATAGAGATGAAGACAAATACAGCACTGGTGTAAAAGCACTGATACTGTGATCTCGGGATTTGTGTGGTGTGTCCTGTGTTGGGGAGCACTGGTATGAAAATGTTTGGATGCGTTTAATCAGTTTCAAGGTTGAGAATAACAGCGAAAGTGGTCCGACAGGCCTGTTATGAGACCAGCTCTGGAGGGCGTCATCCCTACGACACGCACTCAGCCTACGAATCACAGACCCGTTTGGGTGGCGTTTAGCCAACACTGCAAACAACTGCACATATACTCTGCTCTCTACAGTATATAGCAAATAGCACTCGTAGTCTAAGTTCACGGGCTTTGCATCGACTGTATCGCCGCTTGAATTGGAGTGTCGGTCGTTGTCGTCGTTCACTACTAAATGTTTATAATAGTGTAGATATATAAGAGAAAGTTGAACTCAGTTTACCATCAATGTTACCAAGTTTAAAGGTTATTGACTGCACAGACATCAACACCAACAACAACTCCAATACACTAACACTGCTCTCTCTTTTCTCTCTATCTCTCTCTCTGTGTCGATGTTGTCTCTCTTCCAGAGCATCGCTACCATCATTACATAACTACCCAATTGTTACTATTAATACCATTAAATATATTCATATTTACACACAATCATTATATATCTGTACATTTGTTATGAATTGATCTCCATTTCCAATCGTATAATAGGAAAACCATTGCATTTGAATATCAATATATTAGACTCTGTTTCCTCTCATTCGCAACACATAACCCGAAATGAATGATAGCTTTGCTCTACAAATGTCTATTCAATATACAATTCTAGTATTTATTTTAGCTCTTTTGGAGACCAATTTTTATGGCTTTTTCACTCTTTTTTATTGTTTTGGATGACATGTCGTGTTTTGCAAAGTGTTAGACGTGTTGTTAGTTATGAAAAGTTAAGAATTTGGTTAAAACTTTCGCTTAAATCACACTAACAATAGGGACTACAGTCTTAGCAAACAATATCCACACGTATTGTGAATAGGAATCAAACATATATTTTTACAATTTTCGACACAATTCTGGACTATTGTATGGATTGTTATGTATTTTAAATGTCACGACTAAAGAAAGCAAATCGTGTGAAACGCCTTTTCATATTCCGAGTTAACTTCTGTTGAAGACATTTATTTCAAACTTATTGAGTGCTTAAGATATACTGGTTTTCACAGAATATGCAATCAATAAGTAGTAAGAAGTGAGGTATGAGTTGGTTATGAATCGGGTATAAGTTTGTATGGGTTTGTATGGGTTGGCAGCTGCTGTAGCACTGGTAGGGCTGGCGTTTGCTGTAAGAATTGTGTAAATACTACTGCGCTTACAGAATAGGTAAATGCACTGTTAGTTAACCCCAACGATTCAATGAACGCTCGACTCTAACAATGGGATTGAAAGTACGAAAACCCCAAAAAACATATTTCCAAACATATCTTTTCGTATATATAACACAAATAGTGGCGACAGTTGTAAACCCAATGATAGAGTTATTGAGTTTTTTTGTGGCTATTTTTCATGAGGTAAAAAACAGAGCCAATGAATTGACCATTGAATGGTCACAAAACGGGTGAGTAATTCAAAAGTGTAAGACTCAAGACATGCACTTAGTATTGAAAACCCGGAAAACAACACAATTGTTAGCCATTCTCTTCGATATAAAACTAGTGAGAGTATGACAGCTGGCAATAGGCATCGAGACATAGCATTTCCCCCTCAATACTCCTCATATACATTGACAGCACTGGTGGCCAACACGTGCTGCACGCGTACCACTGATACAGGAATTTAACTGTAAATACATATAAAAAGAGAGAAAGTTTGGGTGATTTGCGCTTCACTTATACTCTGTATGAATGGTTGTTGTGTTGTGTCTGAAGTTTTTGAGCAGTAATTCCGTCAAAAATCTCTTCACAAAAATGCATATATAATAGAGGAGTAGAGAGAGTACGGAAGCGAAACACCAAATATTCTTTACATTCAATACCAAAGCGATTGAAAGCGAATTTTTTGTTCCGTCAATACCAATGTGTTTGCAAATTATTGTTTACAATGTCTACAGCCTTTCAAACCGTTTTTTCAATTCATTTTCCATTTAATAAATTTTTAGGAGAAAAATATATTTCTAAATAAAGATCTGCAGACAATATTCACACACAGTATTAAATATTAACTATAAATCATAGTCAGGACGGTTAGACTCGCGTACCATTTGGTGTGTGTTTTCATACAAAATATTAACATTTTATATACAAAAAATTGAATGAAATCGAAAGATTATTTTATAGCCATTCGCTATATTTTTTTCGCCAAAAATAAACCCATGGTTTTAAAACACTTTCTATTTTTGGCAGTTTTTAGTGCAATTGTGTGCAGAATTAGTGGATCAGCAGTTAGTGTATGGGATATTGCAGTGCAATAAAAGACAAGAAAAGAGAGTGAAGTGTTTACAACTCTTAACCTTTTTTTAGATTTCACTTTTCATTTTGTTTGGCTTTCAATGAATTATTGCCAAATATAAAGGCCACTAAAAAAGAGAGGAGAGAAAGCTTGAAGATGGTAATAGACGTGAAAGTGTGGCCACTGGCTATTATTTAGCCTAAAAAATAGCAGCTGCACCCCTTTCCACCCCCTCAGACCCTTTTGACGCTTTTTTGGTTGTTTGCGCTGAGGATATATTGAGGATATATTTGTATTTTACGATATCTATTGCCAATCGCTCTGAAAAGTGCAAAAAAGATCTATTACTCGAAGAGCACAATAACCGAAATTTTTAGTGGCTATAAATCCTGTGCTGATCCGCTCAAAGGGATAGTTGAAAGGGAAACACACGGATAGAGTTGCGTACCTATGATGTATTGTCTGGCCCTGTCTATGGACATGAGGGACAGGCATATTGTTTGGTCAATAGACTGACCATCCGTTCGGGTTTTACAGTTCCTATCAATAAAGATGTGTTATTTTTGTTCACTTTTTTCTGGGAGAGCCGGAGAACAGAGGAGAAAGTTGTTTACGACTTACTCTCACTTTAATTTAGAGAAAAACAAAGTTTTGAGAAGTGAGTGAATGGCTGATAGGCATCACCGCTAGAAATCACGTTCTTATTAATGGCAACATTTTTGCAAATAGTGTTTTTGTGGAGAGAGAGAGAGAGAGAGAGAGAGAGAGAGAGAATTACATCTACTAGAGTGGCCAATCTAGATAAAACCCGAACCAGAGGAGGAATGACCGCTTTCTTTGTCACTCTCCTTATCTTAGCTCACAATTATAGAAGAGAGAGAGAGAGAGAGAGAGAGAGAGAGAATGTCCAGTATTTTTCAATTATAATTTCTAGAAAATCTAATTTGAGAATATTTTGCTTAAAAAACTAAATTGATTTCTCAGGCATTTAAGTGTATTTCGTTGCGACAGAAGAGATAAACAAAAAACATATACATTTTGTATAGCGTTTGTTAATGAAGTGAATGAATGGCTTCTATTAATAATATTGTTTTGAATGCCTGTGTATAACACATGAGGGCATGAATTGGTAACAAAACAAGCGAAGATGAGTTTAAGCAACTCTACCCCCGCCCCCGACATTATATATTTGTTTAATGGAAATGCTATCGACTCTACGGTAGAGAACGGATTGAACGCACACTTAGAGAGAAGAAGAAGAAGATGTGCAGCAAATGATTGTTATATAAAACAAGTTTAATATTACACAAGAAGAGCGCAAAAATACAGAATATATACATTATAACGCTTAAGTCGTTTCCACGCATAATGTATGCAATGGTTTATCAGACGTTGCTATGACTGCTATGTGTTAGCAATGTTTGTGATGTTTGTGGTGTTACTCCAAGTTCTTCACCGAACAGGTTAAAGGCCCTATTGATTGACAGACAGGTCAATGGCACACAACACCCGAACCAGAGGAGGAATGACCGCTTTCTTTGTCACTCTCCTTATCTTAGCTCACAATTATAGAAGCGAGAGAGAGAGAGAGAGAGAGAGAGAGAGAGAGAGAGACTTATAGTCCACATAACATCTCCCCATTCCTTAATATTATTATTATTTGTTTTATTTCATAAAATAAACAAATTTTTGTCGATAGTATTGAGAGTCAAGAAAACTCTATTTCATCTCATTTTCCCCTCTCTTGTATTGTTTATTATTATTAAACAATATTATACTAAATATGTGTATAAGAATATATTCACACCATTTGTTTTCGTTTTGAGCACAAACTTCACGACAATATTTGCCAGAATTTTTGCTTTCGTATCACTAATTGCTTCTTATATACCAACGAATATTTTTTTCGAAAAACACTTTTAATTTTTATAATTGCTCCTAAAAGGCTATGTAATATTGAAATCATGCATTTAATGTATTTTAGATTTTTTGAAAATTAAATTTTAGAAACTTTTATGATAAAATGTGTTTTTCCAATTTTATGTTTACAAATGTTTTTTGAGACTAAATTTTAGTTTTGAAATTGAATAACATTTTATTATCGGATAAATCATATCAAGTAGTGTTAAACATTATATTAATGATGGGTTGGAGTAAATAAGATAATATTTCTTATAATTGAAAGTCAAGGAAATTTTGTTTTAAAAAAGTTTAAAGTTTTAAAGGAAATCTATATTTTAAATAAACACAAAATGTAAAACAAGTGTTTAATTAGAAACAATGCATAGCATAACAAACATTGATTTCTTGGAAACAAACCACAGATATTTTAGTGGAATATTTGGTCAGTGTATCAATATTTCAATATTTAAGTCCATTTCTAGTAATTGTTTTGACCAATAGATCCTGAAGTGGAAAAACACATGGGATTTGTTTTAAAATCTCAACCAATTTATACTAATCTAATCCACTCTTAAGCCAATAACTGACACAAATTTGTGAATTTAATCACTTCTCGGTTGAATCTCATTGAAAATATATGCAATCTATAAATTTATCGTTCATAAACTATTGTGTGCATAAATATTACAATTTGTGAATTATATTTCTTAGATAACCGAACGGTAATTATATTATTGTTTTCATTATTTATTTATAAATAAATGTTAGGCAAGTAATAAGATAATAATATATTCCGTGAATTATATACAATTCATTGAAAAAACGCTAACAAATCATTAATGGGATGAGAATATAAACAAACACTGAAATAATCGGTCAAAAGGTATCGTAAAAATAATGATACGAGAAGTGAAGTACAAATTAAATGCAATTCCGATTAAAATGATTTCAAAATTAGAGGTAATGTCAGTAAAATGAAATTCAAACACAACACAAACATATACCTCTCTATACAACCAACAAATTTTATATGTTTTAAAAGTTCAAACTTAAAGACTAGACTAATGGAAATATTTTTTAAAAAATACTCTCTATTTTAATGGTTAACTTGTTTTAGTTGTTTTGATTGCCTTCTCTCTCTCTCTCT